GAGATGTGGACATAAATACGGATATGCATCAGCAGCACATGACATCAAGGCAATTTCTTATCAAGTTTTTCAGCGTAGGGAACAGAAGGGAACCACAAGCCCTGGTTTTCCCTCAGTAACATTTCATGACGCCAGATTTTCGGCATAGCAGAGTAACGGAGACCCCAAATTCGACAAATGAGTGCAAAACTTGATTTGAAGCTGATGTCTTTGAAGTCCTCAGACGGTATAATTCTGAGTATTGCAGATGGAAATCCCATCTTGGAGGTGCAATATGGATTCTTTGCGGACATGAGGAATCTGACGGAATTTTCCTGCGATTCGTGCGTCCTGGGACCGACACTAAGAAACGTGTCTTTAGAATTCCACAGTGACGCCTTGAGTGGCGTGCAACTCAAGGGTAACAGCATCTCAAGCCTGGATTCCCACGCAAACTCTGGTATGTAATGCAACTCTTGCCTTAAAAGTATTCCTTTATGAAGTCTGTTCGCACTAAATCGAGTGCTGCATTCATTCCAGGGGTTATGCCCGACACAGAAATCAACTTAATGGAAAACGAAATCGGCGAATTAACGGAAGAGTCCTTCCGACCCATGTTGGAGGTCCTCTCTCGAGGATTCGGGCGCATCTACCTCTACGGTGAGCGTTGAGCCGTTCTTCTCCCAGATGCAGTCCCCAACATCCTTTCGTCTACGTTGCAGGGAACCCCACCACGTGCGACTGCAGCAGGGCTTGGATCGTGCTGGAGCCCGACTTCCTGAGCAGCGTGGAGGGTCAATGCACCGATGGTACGGATTTTCAAGATTTGGAACCGGATGCGTTTCAAGACTGCTTCAAGGTGGATTTCGTTATGGGCGATTGGATCGCTTAGGAATTTAATGCCCTCGAGTGGCATTAAATTCGAGGGGCACGTGAGAAGCTCAGTTCATTCAACTCTCAAGAGTAATTTTTTTTAGCAATCCTCCGGAAATTCGATCGGTTTAGTATTGCTACAGGAAATGAGGAAAAATACGCTGCAGATGAATATTTTTCAAATTATCTTTGTCCTGTCGTGAGTTTCTGTTTCAAAGCTAATGAGTAATAAACTCTAATGTTGATGGGTTTCGGAGATACATTCTCGGCAATCAAGATGTCTTGTTTTTCATCTGGAATGGAGACATAGGTGGGATATGGCAGGACTCATTCACGCCGGATATTAGCCAACACAAACAAATCATACATGAAGTAGGCCGAGAAAAGGCCATGAAAAAGCCTGTAATACGAGGGTTGATCAAGAAGTTCGTATTTTGACCTATAAGGAATTTATGTATCGGCTCGAAATTTCAACAGCCTCTAGTATAACTCTTTGTAATAGTGTGTACCAAATTTTATCATCGGACTAAGGTTACCTTTTTTATTATAGATCTGCTGTAAATACCTGGTTGGAGGACCAGAACAAAGAATTTTTTCCAACTGGGATCCGAGCATTGGAGCACCGCTGGACTAAGTGCATTTCAGTTCAAGGGGACTATGTCGAAAAATAAAAAAAAACATTCCGCTACGCACAGTCTTTCACTCCCAAAATACGAACTTTTTGATCGCCCCTCGTACTTCGTGGTTCGAAAATGATGCGTGGCTATTGCCCAATAATATCTGGTTGAACCCCTAGTAGCACATAACATAGAATCCATGTTGTTTCAATGTTATTAAACATGTTCATTAGGCAATTCTAGATTGGGAAGTTGTGGTTACTCGTTCTGGATCGGTGCTTTTTCTTCATCTGGCAAAGTTTTTCCACCTTGTATATCTTTTACTGTCCTTCCTCCCCCCCTCCTCCTCATGTCTTCTTCCATCATTGGTCTTCCGATATTCTCCTCTATCCTGGCAACACGCGACTGTAACTTGGTTCACCTCCTATGAGTCCTCCTTGAAGGCGAAACAGTTTAAAGAAAAAGCTTACGAAAGCTGCTTTCCAGTTAAGCTACCGTAAACTGATTTCTTTGCAGTTCAATATAAACTCGTTCGAACTGGTGGAACATGTTGCTCAAAGTTCAGTGGAATAACTTTCAATACAGGTCAGTATAACTACATAGATGAAATCTCTGTACATCATTTGAACTTCTGAACGAGAAGTACTTAAATGGTATAGGACTGTAATACAATAAAATGCAGCATTTTCGCAAGAATCATCACAAGTAAGAAAAGCTTTTTAGCTCAAAAACCAACAGTACGTTTCAAGTCTTCCTTTGATGTTGTAGTTGAGATTAGGCAGGGTTGATGCTTTGCATGGTAGAAGATCATCATATGTGTGATTAGAGACGACTGATCTGGCGAAAAGAACAAAGCGGAGGTGAAAACCATTCCTTTATTAAGAGAGAGGTGAGAGGTGAGAGAGGCCGCAGGGAGCCCCCGCAGAATCCAGGGGCCCCAGCCCCAAGAGGAAGAAATAAAAATAAAGAAGATAGGAAGAACGAAAGCAAAAGAGAAAAAACAGAAACGCTGCTAGTTATTCCGAATAAGATTCAAGCTCTGAATGAGAGAATATTCTTTGATCTTCCTACTCTGGACAGGCGAGAAGGCTGAGCTGGGTGAAATCGGCTACCAAATGCAAAGAAAGTTTTTTTTTTTAGATTCAGATTTTAATTTTAATTCCTCCATCATTTCCGCATGAAATCCTCTCGCTTGCAGGCACTCGAGGTGAGAAAGATATCCGCGTAGAAGGGTCTATCTCATTTTCATCCCTTTCCCTCGCTCGTCTCCCTTGATCATGTCGTAAAATGTATTGTATATTCATTACCGAGTCATTGATAGGGTTGTCACATTTTAATTAAACAAAAAGTGGACGCATACAAATATACCAAAAATATTCGAAGTACGAGGTACTTGTTTATGCGGCTATGCCACAAATACCCAGAGCCAAGACGCCAATCGATACAATGAGAGTGGTGCTTTTGACTAACGGATGAGAGCCGTTTTAGCTCCTATCAAGTATTATTAATTAAAATATCTCAATAAGTTTATAATATGGACAAAACAGTGTACATATTAAGACCAATTTGCAGTATCTATCGATACGAAGCGTCTGAAATATGTACTATCAATACCATTTATGAACGGGTGACAATCCTTATCATCGATGGTACCCGTGCAATGTTTAGACACCTTTTGCTAAGGTTAACCTCAATAGGTCAACGACCTTGTCGACAAGCTTCGCAGTCTGGCTACACCTCGACCAGAGCCACTTGATGCTCTTGGAACTCCGCGATTCATTCACAAGAGTGGTCAAGCCCGTGTAGCCTAACTTGTCCATTGCTCTTGGAATGCTACTCACAGCTACAGTGAGAGTTGCATCTGCAGAAAGAAGCTCCTCCAAAATGAAACAATTTATAACTCATCAAGCATGTCACAAGAACGCCCGACAGGACAAGCCATACTCTCTATCGAGAGGGAGATCGGCAGGTCATTGAATCGCAAGAAAGTGATCGCTGAGCTGGTGAAAAAAGTTCCTAGAATACGAACGCTAAACCTTTGGACAACCTGCACAGATTCCTCTCCTTTCCTTGCTTAATAAAAATGTAGTGATTTTCATTGCTCAGGAGGAGCATACGAATCGATTGATACCATATACAGCGCCAAAAAAGTACTTGACTTTTGAATCACCCTGTATATTAGACTAGCGAGTTTGTTTGCCCGAAGGGCAAGCAAAACTCGCTATGGTCGCGACTTCCGCGCTCCATTGTCCAGGATAGTGATTCATTCATTAATTTATATCCTAAGTGACGAAAACATATTAAAAGTATGTGCCGGTCGGAATGTGTGTCATGAGCGGACGAACCTCTATTTTTGCATCGAAGTAATTACTCAGGTTATACTTGTGTGCCTAACTTCAAATCTCTCCATAATTTGCCTTTGGGGGACATATTTGAAAAGTAGGATCTGCACTCAGCAATCGAATTGGTACATCTGCTGCAAGTATAAACTTTCTTTAGTTCTCTCTTTCATTGAATAAAAAGAGATCAGGGAAAATGCGACTTTTGGAAAATAAAATGTGCCCGCAAGGGTTTTACCTAAGAAATTGCATATTTACTGAAATCATTACTTGGAGAACTACGTGCCAGCTTCAACTGTATCTGATTGCCCTTTTCGCTGGTGCATCTCATTCATGCAAAGTTTCATATTTCCATTTTTATCCGTTTGACTGAAGCAAAAAAGTATTCTTTGAAAGCATCTCCCCCTGAAATGTATGCCCCCTCGGTATTTGCCTCCAAAGTCTGAATTTTCTGAAGTCAGCGTTTCAGTAGATACTTATGAATCAAGTTTCACCTTTCTATTTCTGCCCAATTCGCTTAACAAAATTTCTTTTAAACATCACCTCCCAAAAATATGCCCCCAAGGCATGCATCTGAAACCTGACATTTTTTATGGACTACGTGTCTCAGTAGACACGTCCATGTCAAGTTTCAGCTTTCCATGTCTCTTTGTTTGATTGAAGCAAATATATCTCTTTGAAAATATCTCCCCCTAAACACGCCCCCAGGGCATTTGCCTCTAAAGTCTGCTATCTGTGTGCATGTGGAGTAACGAGAATTGGGTATGATTTTTACCTTTAGCATTCAGCGTATCAGTTGGTGGTGAGGTGAGATTTGGAGGTGAGATTTCCTTGACGGAACCGCTAAAAAAAAAACCTTGAAAGCTCTTGCTCATAGAAAATTAGATAATTTCATTCCAGGATCAAATCAAGGCAGGATTCCTTGAGCGGCAATATCAACACCTGATTTTCGAGCAGTTCAGATTTTGTAGATTTTGTAGATGCACTGCTTCTTACCTCGCGAAAGAAACATGGAGCAACTCGGGTGTGACCCCATTTCGCATACACTCCCTGCATGCAATCTTCAAGCGATCCGATTTTAAAACTCATTACCTGCGGAGCGAAGTCCAACTTCAAATGAGCTTTGGTTTCATACTTTATTCTTTGCATCTTTATTTGCTTCAATTAATAAAAAACTGTGGAAAAGCAATGACGTTATTGTGTTTTTTGGGATGGTGTAACACGGTGGAGTGGAACTCTGTCATCCAAGAATTGGCTTCCAGCGACTGGATCTTCAACACGTCTGAACATCGCAGAATTCCCACACGGGTTTCTGTCCATTCGTAACACCAGGGACTACCGTCTCTCGAGTCCAGGTTCCATCCGCAGTTGCGATGCTCGTCGAGCACATCAGCATCCGCGAAGCTTGATGGCGAAGGGCAAGCTCCAGTCGTGCATCAGGTGTCGAGCAGGCTCAGGGTTAGCGTGGGAGGCCGGAGACGGTGCCGATCTTTCACCCGATGTACTCGCCGCCCCGTTGGATCACCTTACACTCGAGAGGGTCTAGAGGAAGAGAGACGCGGATTCTTTTAATTGCCCTGTCTTGTCCCTCCTTCCTGCTTCTCACCCTGCGCCATGGCACCAGTAACCACCCAGTGTTGTCCCGTTGAATATTCCACTTTCCGATTCTAGTAATTTAAATGCTAAGCACATACGGCATCTGGATAACACGAACATTATTTCTTAACTTGCATTACATTATTTCTTAAATTATGTCTTTACAACTTTCTCGGAGCCAGATGTCAATGTTCAATGTTTACGGAAGGCTCGTACTTGATTGGATAATTTGTTTTCCTCACTCCACAGTGGTCCAGAGTGAGTGAAAACCTGACCGAAAATGCCTGACACCCTTTACTTCGATCTAAGGGGGTGGATTCGGCAACATAACATCGGAAAAAGTTGTCCAATATTGACTCGATGTTGCCTATATCTGAAGTTTCGAGCATTTTCCCTCTTCATTTGCTGGTGAGTATTAGGTTTTTGTTCATCGTTTGCATTAGGCACATTTCTAGGACATCAGTTTTCAGCAGTGCATACTTGCAATCGGGTGACTATGTCCCTCTTAGTTAGGTTACCTGGACCTAGGTAGGGAGTCAAAAAACGGTTATTGTGAGTATATTCACGGATTCTCGCAGCTAGTATGTTTGGCCGAAAAAGCGGGAGAGTCAAATTGTTTTGGGAGTGCTGAGTCGGTTGGGTTAGAAAATATCCGCGACCGAAGGCCGCGACCCAACGAGTTAAATCTCGACGTCTTCCATTATGATTTGTTCTTTCTGCCACGATCAACACTGTTCCCACTTCCATGACTCTCTCCCCCTCATTAAAGAAACGATGCCCGACAAATTACAAAATGATCATGAACCGGAAATATTATTCATCATTAGAAGGGCTCTTATTGCTTAACCAAATAGGAATCCTTCCAAATGGTAAAGTGGACCATCGCGTGGTCAACCGCAACGCAATCATGAAGGCTTAATTTTTCCAGCTCGGAAAACTCTGAACTCGGATGGCGCGTTGGGTTGACAAAGGGAAAATTTCGGCGAAAATTCCCGAAGTAGAAACAGTAACGTGACGAAACAAAAGCAATTGCCCCTTTCCCGTGTCTGTTTCCTAATTCACTTTCGTACATCTAAAAAAAAAACACATTCAGGCCGCATTCATCAGTTTGGCGTGTCGGTATCTCACATGTTCCACCTCATGAGAACCCAGGAAATGTTGCATTACCGAACTAGAGATTACAACCATTTGTAGAGAAGAAAAAGGTAAATTGCGTGGAACAATTGTTAATTTTTGCGCTTCTGCTCGAAATGCACATGAAAAGTTTCTCGTACATGGCAGTCTCCGTGACTGGGACTGACGATATTCTATCGAGAGCATCGTTTATTCAGTAGCTGGGCTCACCCTACGCTCATTCTTCAACTGGGGAAAACTTATAACGATGAGAAGTGATCAGGCAGAGGCAGTGTGTTTGATCAGTCAGTTTGATCACTGATCAAAGACGACGCAGTCTTGAAAGTCCTCTGGAACCAAGTCTGAGAAGAGCGTCCCATCGATGCAGCGACCCGACACGCTCTCCAAGAAGCCTGGATTCAGAGCAAGCCAGGCCATGCTGCAGTCGCACACGACAGGGCTACCTAAAACACACAGGGGAAAACGCCAATTTTAGAAGGTGTATGAAATTGGTATGATGGTGATCTGGAGGCGTGCCGTCGAGACACTCACCCTCCAATCCGATACTCCCTCCCCCCAACGACAGGACCTCCACTATGGGCCGGAACGACTCTTCACTTATGTTGGCGATGTCGTTCTCTATAAGATTTATATACGCATTTGTCGGGAAGCCTGAAATGAATAAGGCAACTCTGGTTTTCCAATCACATTACAAAATCGGGTCCGAAAAGGCGTAGGGGATGATGGGAACAGGAAAAATGTAATCATTAATTAATAAAGCTCGTCGTACCTTTATTTACACCTTACCAGAGAATGCACCCGGTTCCAGGCTCGCCATTCCGTTATGTACGAGCAGAATATACGGAAAGGATCCAACAAAAGCAAAGGAACCCTCTAAAAGGGTCGGACCCAATTCGCATTCATCGCAATGAAACGTCATCAACCTCTCGAAACCATAAAAGAATCCAGGCTCGATTTCCGACACGGGATTTCCACCTGCAAGATGCGAAAAATCACCTCAGAACCATCAGTCCAATATGTAATTAATTATAAGCGCAATTATTTGCTAGTGTAATTAATGCTGCAGGACCACTGAGTGGCGCCAGCGTTAGGAATTCCCCAATTAATTATTGATTGAATGGCGAATTTCCCTTGGCGAGCGAGTCGAGGTGGTATTAGGAATAGTGGAAATAGTGAAACAGTACGAGAAAAAAAAAGTGAATTGATGAAAGCGGACGAGACATTAGTTTCCTATTTAAAAAAAAATGGATCAAAATCGATAATGAAATAATCTGTAAGTTCATCGATCGAGTACAAAAGGCCCTGAAATGCAAATAAATTAAAATGAAGTCATTACGCGTCATTCTTTCTTTCTAATGATGCCAGCTAAGACAATGGCTGAGTTGGAAAGGAAGGAAATGAAGAAACGAAGAAAAACTCGAATCCTGAGGGGTTCCTATGGAATATACCTTTTTTTTTTTACTTGGAAAGAATCGTTGTACGAATAACTGTTGAGGATTGGTATTTTAAGGTAAGTCCAATGAATACCTCATGTGCCTGGATTGCCCTTCATTAATATTGACAGCGAGCAATCTCATAGAAAGGAGGCTCTTACGGCCTTGTCATAGAAGGCTGTAATTTGTAATTGTATTGAGGATAAACCCTCAGGTTACAATTCTGGGGCTACGGAGAATCTCTGCTTCATTCAAATTCTTAACATTGAAAATTACTTCACATAAGTAGGTGTAGCTTAAACTCACAATAAAAAAAGCATAATGATCCAAGGAGTTTAACTAAATTGGTATTTATGAAAATCGAAAAGGGATGCTTCGATTGTATTACTATTGATCTTTTATGAAGCGAACCGCGCCAATGCTCGTTCATTACATTAGTAATGTACATTATTATATAAAGTACATTATATAAAGAGCATGCGCCCGCGGGCTGACCCACAGCGTTAGGGAATAAAGACTTTACCCAGGATCAAACGAAACAAGTTCGGCGCAAACGACCCGGCTTCCAGAGCCTCGATCCGATTCCCCGTCAGGTCCACCTCCCCGAGACTCCCGCTCTCGAACGCCCTCAACGCGGCAACCGCATTCCCCCAGAATCAGAAGCTCGCCGAGGCGAGCGAAGTGGGTCAGGGCCTCCCCAGGTGAAAATCCTCCACGGGGTTCCCAGCGACCGTCAGCAACTCGAGCCTGTCCCTCGACGGAAGCAGGCTCGAGGGATGGATGGTCCCGATGGACGTATTCGAGATGGCTATGCTCCGGAAGGAAACTTCACCGAACATCCCTTCCGGCACATCCTCGACCTCCCGGTTGTCCCACAACGCGAAGTGTCTGGTGGAAGATTAAAAAGTTCCTCCAAGTAAATTACTCTCATCCACATGGATTCTTTTTTTGGAGGGACATCAGGATAATTAAGTTATAAAATGGATTGAGTGAACTTTTAGGTTCAAAATGAAGCTTAATTCCCTACCAATCCTTCTTTCTCTGGAATGAAAGCACTAATCCAATCTCTACGCTCATTTTCAAACAAATGATCTGGTCCATCCCTTTACACGGATTTCGTTTCCGATCGCGATTGTCGGAATTCGTGTTGAAAATGAAGGAATTCTCTTGCCTCTCTCTGTTCGGGTTGCTCCTTGGGTGCGTTGCCGGTTTGGCCGGGCGGGGCCCGTGCCCCGATCCCGGTGACATCGTCCCCTGCACATGTGACGGGACGAACGCGGACTCGGTCGCCGTGGACTGCTCCGATGCCGCGTCGAGCGCCCAGATTTTCTCCGCCTTCGATGACGCGGTTTGGCCTTTCGTGGAACTTGGGTGAGTGAGAGCACAAGGTCGATGAATTTCTATTGTTGCGATGACATTCCTCAGTCAAAAGTTCAGTGCCTATTACGCCATCCGTTTTCACCAGCTGTTCTCCTTTTGGCACGAAATCGAACCTTTGCCAGACCTTCCTCGAGAAGACAACAATGTAACTTGGGGATCGTTGGACGGAGGGAGGGTGAGGTTTTCCCAATCGTGTATCTCCCCGCAAAGAAACGCATATTTTACTCAGTCGTCCCAGGAGTCAGGAGTCAGGAGTCAGGCATTACGAAGGTGACGAATCATCAAACAGATTTGAAACAAAAATCGGCTGCTTTTAAAACCGTTTCTGCAAGACGTGCTCCAAGTTTTATATCTTCTTATTTGATCACTGCCGCGAACACGCGACGGATCCCCCCCCCCCCCCCCTCCCCCCATCTCGGCTGCGAACCGTCGCACCTGCCAGCTTCTGCGTCGATGTCCTTGGGGAAAACCGCTGGAAAAAAAAAACCACCAACCATTTCCACTGAAATTGCACTTATTTAAGGAATAATGAAACAGAGCGAAACGTGTACAAACCCGTTAGAAGCCAATTCGATCAGAGATGCGAGATCGACCAAGGATCGTTTATTGCAAGTAAAAAACGTTTTTCCCATTTCGTTTTTTTTTTAGCGAAACGAACGAGTTGACGCATTGTGAATTCGATTCGAAACGGAAGAACGCGTGGCTATTTAAGAATTAAATAGCCACGCGTTTCTTAAATAGCCACTGAAGAAAAATCGAAATGAGAAATGATGAAGAACGAATGCAAATTTTTTTTTTAATATTGTGCGTAAAATTGTCGAACAAGTAAGTAATCCGCTCTATCGATGCAACTTGGGAGTGCAGCTGAGAGCTGCAAGAGCTTTTGAATCTTTTCCCTCGTCGGATTTCGAAAATTGAAGTTTGAAACTCCACTGAAATGTCGTCGGAACTCCGCGGATGCATGAAGTTCGTGAATTAAGGATTTTTATTTGCAAATTTTTTTTTCGCACTTGGGATTTCCCCGTTTCCCTGCAAGGTCAGGCAGACTGCAGATCTGACGGAACCTGGCAGACTGCAGATCTGACGGAAGAATTTATTATTACTGGGTTGTTAGATTGATAACCGTAGCTTAGAACTCGTAGCGAGAATTCCGAGGTTGTTGGGCGCAGGTATTCGCTGTTACTGGTCGATTTCGTGCGGAATGACGCGAAAAGAAGTCCTCACTTCCGTCATTCCTTCCATGGGGATGCTCGCCTCCATGACGCTTGAGCATCTGCCTGCGTCCGTCCCGCCAAGGTGCGGCCGTTCGCACGCTGGAGATAGCAGCGAGATTTGCTTCGCGGGGGGAGGGGGGGGGGAAGGACGGAAAGCCACGGACTCGGTGAACAACTTCGCACCTGATTTCTAGATGCAGTTCTTTCCCCATCTCTCCCTTTTCGTGTCCCTAGTCTTTTCCATTCCCGGTACGAACGGACAATTCCCGTGTCCCGATGCGGATGAGGTGCTTCCTTGCATCTGCGCCTACGATGAAGGCTCCGACAGGGTGAGAGTGGACTGCTCCAACGCTTCATCGAGTGATCATATTTTCTCTGCCTTCAATGATGTCCAATGGCCCCGCACAAACCTCTCGTAAGACAGTCTTGTCAGCATTGTTTCGGCAATATTGTTATGCTAATTGTCGGATTGCCATTTCTTGACATTCTTCTTGCGACTGAAGGATTGCAAGTTGCCAATCAGCAAGCAATGAGTTGCTTCCGACGCAACATAAGGGCGTGTGGACTTGACCCCTTATTATTATTACCTTCTAAGCGATCTTTTCACGATGATATTCATGGTCAGATGGATCACGTTTGTGCAAACTCGACGTTAAAAATATGTTGTGTCGTTCAAACAGGTCACACGGAAGCTCATACCAGGACACATATTTATCGCAACAGGAAATTACTTCTTTTACTTATAATCGCAGAGATGATACGCAATCACATTTCACAGAGATAATCACCGAGCTAATTCACGGAGACACTCAATTCCTTCTCGAAGGGAATTCACCCTGCACGACAACAGCGCAGTGCAAGACCTCCCAGAAGGAACGCTCGGCGACATCACCTTCGAGAGGATCTACGTCTACTCGACCGCCGTGAGCGCCGTCCACCCCTCGGTCCTGCTCCCCTCGAAGGATCGGCTGGCGGTGCTGACCGTGAACTGGAGCGGGCTCGGGGACTTCCCCTTCGACGTCCTGAGTCAGTTCGGTCGGCTGATCTCGCTTCATCTCTACCGGAACGCCCTGACCGCCGTGCCGCCTCTCCGGAGCTCCAGTCTGGTGGAGATCTTCCTCTGGAGCAATCGGATCGGCGCGCTTCGGGCTGGGTGGTCCGTGCCGAACCTGAGGTATCTCGTAATGGGTAAGCGCTGGGTCTTTTTCAGGCCCGGTTTCTTCGGTATTCGCTCTGATCGGTCGGCAGCAGGAAAAATCGGATCGGCGCGCTTCGGGCTGGGTGGTCCGTGCCGAACCTGAGGTATCTCGTAATGGGTAAGCGCTGGGTCTTTTTCAGGCCCGGTTTCTTCGGTATTCGCTCTGATCGGTCGGCAGCAGGAAAATTATATTCCGATTTTGCGGAGAAGGCATTACGAAGGTGACGAATCATCAAACAGATTTGAAACAAAAATCGGCTGCTTTTAAAACCGTTTCTGCAAGACGTGCTCCAAGTTTATATCTTCTTATTTGATCGGTTGAACTGGAGAGCTCTACCAGGGAGCCTGTCCATTGCTAGACTCCTGTAAAGGTGATGTGTGGAAGACTTGGGCCACGGAACCGTAAGTTGGCTCGTGATTCTCGTTATTGCGCCCCAATGTCACTTCGAACGTAATAGCTTTATGAATTAGCCCGTTTGGGTGGCCGCAATGAACTACGTCGTCACATTCACAACGATTCCCATACATTAACGATCAGAACACAATTTATTTACAAATATATTTTTACATTGTTTTCCTGTCTAATGGAACATCAACCGCAAATTCACCCCGTCACGTCTCGATTCAGAATTCCGAAAATTTCCAGTAATGTGCGGCGAACCACGGCTACTTACATTGCACGTAAAAACTGTGAAATCAAAATGTGATGCCATGAGATGTTGACATAAATGCGGATATGCATCAGGAGCACATGACATCAAGGCAATTTCTCATGAAGTTCCTCAGCGTAGAAAAAAGAAGGGAGCCACAAACCGTGGCTTTCCTTCCATAACATTTCATGACGCCAGACTTTCGGCATGGCAGAGCAACGGCGACCCCAATTTCGACAAATCGATGCAAAACTTGACTTGAAGCCGATTGTTTCCAGATGTCTTTGAAGTCCTCAGACGATACGATTCTGACTATTGCAGATGGAAATCCCATCTCGGAGGTGCAAGATGGATTCTTTGCGGACATGAGGAATCTGACGGAATTTTCCTGCGACGCATGCGACCTGGGACCGACACTAAGGAACGGGTCTTTAGAATTCCACAGCGAAGCCTTGAGAGGCGTGCAGC